TGTTCATATAAACACTGCCAGACTGGGTTAAGCTTGCTCAACTGCTGCTGAGTTGCTCTAGCAGCATAAAGCCCTGCTACAAATTCTACTTCAGCAGTATTGTGTATTGTTTTGTTTTCAAACTATCTGGAGAACAATTAGTCCAAACTTTAAAAAGCAATGGTCCATAGGTCAGCCAATGGTCTGACTGCCAAATAATTCAGCAGGCAGAAATTCTGAGAATCAGTCATTTATTTAGATGCCTAAATTCCGATATCTACTTAAAAAATTTTGGCCATTCTGTTTTTGCAAATTTTTGTTTTTGAATAGGTAATAATTGTGTTTGATAATTACATTCGCAAGAAAAAGATTGGATTCCTGCTATCTCCATTCAAATGTAATTTTTAAACAAAACAAAGCTCACCAGCCCTTCTCTTCTCAATAGTCAGCAGTTTGCAGTACCCAAATTCAAGGATAAAGTGTGTGAATTTGCATGGCAGTCTTTCCAAGGGCTCTTTTTCCATTGTTGAGTGAGGGACCAGGACACGAAGTCTGTATTTATTCTAGGCCCTTTAGGGACCTATTCCTATTTTACTCCCTGCAATGCTTCTCTAACAGTGGCAGGAATGGGAGAAGTTTGAGGGAGGGAAGCAGGATTTGCTGTCACCCATGGCCTGGAAAGTTTTGGTCAAGGTTAGACAAGCCAGGAGCAAAACCCTTTGTGCTCTGGCTACAGTACTAGAGACTTCCCTTATCACAGTGAAAGGACTCCTGCACAGTAGTCCAAATTCAGCAGAGGATCACGTTCACATGTACTGCTTTACTTCCCTGGCAGATTTACTAGAAGTTGAAATCCCTCCACTAACACTGCCAGAGGGAGTGACTACACAACCTCTGTCTGTGCTGCATTGGTGTCCTCACTTGTGTGCATCAATCTTGAATCATTTGGCATCTTCCTGGCATCCTCACAGTCATAACATACAGGTGTGTTGATTCCACAGCTACGAATCTCTCCAAATTGCCACAAACAAGAGGTCTGTTCTGTATTTGGTGTTCATTTTGTGTGAAAAACTTGTCGTCCTCCCCTCTTTCTCAACTCATGTACCCTTGAAAGAAGTCCTCATGGACTGACCACTGCTTATAACAGTTTAAAAGGGCCACTGCTTTCTTTATCTTTTAGTGATGCAATATGCAATAGTCAGAGCCAGATAAGGACTTGGGGAATGATGCCCAGAGCAGGTCAAACTGTAGCTCTTTGGAGAATGGAGAGAGCAGATTTCCTGCAGTCCCCTACCAAGCAGAGCTTCCTATGCAGTGTCTATGGTACCGGTACTAATACCACTGTTGCTGATGTGCTTGCTAAGGAACTGAAACCTTTGGACTGTTATAAAAGCTTTCACCGTTCGTTCAGACGCGACTAATTGTTTACATGGCCATCAAATTGCCCTGTGAGGGTATGATGGGAGATACACTGTCAAAATTGTCCTCATGTAGTTTTAATTACTTAAGGTGTTAGGCATAAACTCCACTCCAGAAGCCTATTATTCCACACATATTTTACAGTGGGTCTAAATGTACACATAAAAATAATTGATTTGAAATGGAATACACTGTTTTGACAGCCAGCTTTTGTTAAGGAGTGTGCTCTTCTCATTAAAGGAAGGAGTATACTGAAGTAATTCACGAATGATGGCTAGAACACAGCACTGAAGAGAGGTGTGTAGAGTAAGGTAGACACTGAAAGTCAAAAAAATTTTTTTGATCACCCCTTTGCATAGAGTTGGTGGCACTGTCAGGAGCTATTCTTTCATTCCTCAAGCCACAAACTGAATATATGAGAAATTAATTAATACACTGTTATACAATTTAATCAGTGAGAGAGCTATGCCATTGCTAAAATAACAAGAGAAGCCTTTCTACGGCTTAGTCTAGGAAGGTAAAAATGGCAGTAGTTTTCTGTGAGCTACCCAAAATGTAAATTCTTAACACAGAAATGCCAAAATATCACCCCTTGTCAGACTATCCAGTCTATTCAAAATCCTACCAGTCACCAGAGCATGGCTTCTCCTTGATGAGGTGAAGTTTGGGCCCGAGCCATGCCCGTCTCCCTTGGGTTTGTCATCTTTCCGACTTGAAAGGGAAATTTGAATAGTAATGTCTTCCAAACATCACCCAGGACGTAAGAATGTCCATACTGGGTCAAAGGTCTATCTAACCCAGTTTCTTCTCTCCAGCAGGAACCCTTAGCAGGTGGCAAAGGAAAGGCAAGAGAAAAGAACAAGCACATAACGATGTTTTCCTGATAGTTTCTCCCAGCTTCCAGTAAGTTGTGGCTCAGGGACTTCGTTCACTGGAGGTGGTATTTAATAGCCTATTAAATGCGCTCAGTGGTAGGTACTTAATATGTAGAATATATATTAACAGCCCTCAACGGATTTAATTTCCATTAGTTTATCCCAGTTGCTTTTTTAACTCATGTAAATTTTTAGCATCCCACATACCCTATGACAAAGCATTTTATAGCTTAACCATACACTGTGTGAGAAAAACTTTCTTTTGTTAGCTTTGCACTTGCTAGTCGCATTTGTTGCCCCCTACCTCTTATATTAAGAGAAACAGGGAACGATCATTCCCTGTTCACTTTCTGTGCCACTCATGGTTTTATAGACTCCATTAGGTTTCCCCTCAGTTGTTTCTTTCTAGGCTGAAGAATCCTAGGCTATTTATTCATTATTATAAGGAAGTAGTTTCATGATTTTATCTTCCTTTTCTCCCTTCCTCCCCTCACCTTTTTCAGTTCTACTTTCTACTCATTGAGATAGGGATACCAGAAAGGCATACAATATTCAAAATGTGCATATTCAAAATTTTGCATAATAGTAACTTTTGATTTGCTCTTCCTTCCTTTCCCTAGTAATTCCTAATACTAGGAAATAGGGGACTTGCTTTTTTGAACACTACCTCATATTGAGTTGACATTTTTAGATAATTATTTATTTTAAAATCTCATTCTTGTGTGAGAACTTATTCAGAACCCATCATTGTATATATAGAGTTGTTTTTCTCCTATTCATCACTTTTACAACCTACATTGAATTTTGTCTTCCATTTCATTACCCAGCTCACACAGTTTCATGAAATCGTTCGGTATCTATTCACCATTGACCTTTCTATTTCCTACATGAATACCTTAGCATTATCACTGAACATTATTTGACAAATCATCAGTCTCTTCAGATCAGTTATGAACATTTTGAGCAGCACAAGCTCTCACAGAGATCTCTTCAGGGCTCTGCCTACCCACAGTGACCTCTCCCTTCCGTGACAGCAGACTCTTTATCCTACCCTTTGTTTGATATCTCTAAAATAGTCACTTATCCATGTGAGAACCAAACTTTTTCATCCCATAGTAGCTTAGTTTTTCAAGAGCTTTTCATGGAAACCTGTTTCAAATAGCTTTTGGAAATCTAAGTAGAATACATCAACAGTATGAGTTGTCTACTATTTGCCAACTTTTTCTTAAACTGTAGTACATTTTGGAGATATGATTTGTCTTCCCAAGAGAAGTGTTTAGGCTTCCTCAGTATATTAAACTTATCTGTGCATCCAATCATTCTGTTCTTTAGAACAGCTTCTATTCATTCACGTTGTTGACTTCTTGTGCAATCTCCTCCACAGGCCCAGCA